GAAAACTAAACTACACAGTAGAAATTGTTCCATGTTCAGATGACACAACAACCCATTGTAGCTAGCTGCCCATGAGGGATTTTATGTCATGCAAACTCAGCAGGAGAAAACGATTGGCTTTGAACATTAAATTCTGATGGAAATAACCAGGACAATTGTAGACTCATGGATACTCATCTGGTATTGATAAGTCAACTAACAGAGTCATTTTCTAATCTGGTAGATGTTAATTTCATGGGTGTTTTAATGGGAATGGGGGGAAATGAAAGAACAAGAAAATGTAATCGTAGGATACAAAAAGCAAGCATTCGGTGCATCTGTGGCAGAGAGATGAGAGGCACTAATTTTTGAAAAGCATGAGGAAGATCCTGAATAATAATCACAATGTTAAAATTAGTATAACAAATCAATTATTCTATAATGCAGATACACTTGTAATTTGTATGACTGTTATGGGTATCTTGATCATAGAAGTACCCATTGTATAAAATACAAAGCTTAATCACTCAAACTTTGCTTTCCTTCTAAATGTTTTTAAACTGTTTTTATAACCGTTTTTAATTGTTTATAAGGAAAACAAATTCTTTACTCTCTTGCTTTGAAATGCACTTTTCCTCTAATTTTGTCTAATCAATTGAACACATCACTTACTTCTCTGAACTCCTTTGTTGTTTAATTGCAAGGATGAAGCAAATTTGGATACTACAGCCCACATGGGATCATGACTTCACTCAACTTTAAAAGCAAAAGCACTCCCCCCACACACACTCTTCCTTGATAAGATGGACTTTTTCGACAAATATCATTAGCTCTTCGCCAGATCTTTCAGTGATTCCATGGATATATGCTGTTAAGACATGCTATGCCAGCTATACTTTGCTTTTTAGGAACTCTCTTAAACCATTAGCTTCTTGTATTGGTCCAATTTATACTATTTAAATATAAAGTATAAGAGTTTTCTGGACACCTGCCAGAACCTCAATACAGGCAGCAGCTCCATGGTTGCATACAAACTTTGCTTGCACAAGGTTCCATGTTCAATCTTTGGCATTTTCAAGTAGGGCAGGAACAACTACTGCCTGAAACCCTGGAGATCTGCTACCAGGCAATGACACTATAATCTATTGTAGATTGCTACCATGATTTGTTGTATCATGTGAGCCCAGACCAATTTTCACAGGATGGTGTTTGAGAAACATGCCACTCTTACATTCCATGGCTTATTCTATGTGTTGTTAAACCCACAATGGGTTGTTGTGTCATCTGAACCTGAACTACTTGATCCATTTTCGGTACCTGGGATCAACTAGCAACTCACTTGACAAGGGTGGCAAAAACCACTTGTCACTTGCTTGCCTGGACACCTGCCAGAGCCAGCTATCCCACAAGTGACCAGGGCATACTGGCTTGCTGTACTCCTTCTCTTGACTGTGAGCCAATTTCAGCTTGTTATACCTTTTTGTACTTCACCCTACCCCCACTCCACCTCAGCTTGAAATCAGGTAGTATTGCAATCCCCATTTTGACAGCCACTTCAAAGTTCCTGGCTGGCACCTTGCAAGTACAAGGACAAATACAGCCATATGTCCCTAACTAAAATCACCCATTGCCCTCTCAAAATCCCCTTTTAAAAGGATCCAGAGTTTGAAAGATAGCTGTAAAAAGCAAGGCTGTGGAGTCGGTACATAAAACCTTCAGCTCTGACTTCTCAATTTATGGTACCTTTAACTCCAATTCTGACTCCTTTATTTATATATCAATATAGGAATATACTAATTATTATTTATTTCTTATATTGATTGAAAGCATTCAACTTTGTCAGACATAAAAAATATACTGGAGACAGACACAGCTACCAAGATTCTTTATCTTTCTTTAGCCCTGAAGTAGATGCCTTTATTGCCGTCTTTTTCATTCACAGCTTTATAATGAAAATGCTGCAAGTGTCCTTTTAAATGTGGTCTTGTAGGTGCATTTTTTTCAGAGCCACAAAAACTACTAATTTTTGCAGCACGATTTTTCACAATCATCTTCTATAATACATTGACACACATTTCCCATCTGTTGTTATTGCAAAGTGTTCAAAAACAGCCGACTTTGTTGACACTTTTTTGCAGTTGTGAATTTTTTCATGGGGTGCTGTTTTCACTAACATTTGAAATTAAAATATATCCTGAAAATATAGCTTGAAAAATAATTACTCAAATAATTATCTATGAAATAGGAAATTTTAACATATTATTTATTATGCAATTTAAATGCAGTAGGAGTTCAGAGTTGGTACATTTTTTCTGACTCTGACTCCAGTAACCCAAGAATTGCTTGTGATTTTGACTCCACGACTTCGATTCCATAGCTCTGGTCAAAATTTCTGTTCCTATAGAAAAGACATTTTGCAGTTTCCCAAGCACTTAGATCTCCCAATGTGTGTAATTTTTTGGGTCAGTTTTTTATTTTTATCCTTTTTTAGTTGGACTTGTCCTACCAATTAACCCAGGGAGTAAAAACACAATCCATGGCTTGCTTGTCTGGCAGCCAAATAATGGACTAACTCTGGATAAGGCAACAACCCATGAGATAAATAAACCATGAGTTCTCAAAATGTTTGAGCCAAATCAGAAAGAGAAAGAAGAGCCAAGACAGATGTACAGAAGGAAATAACCTTAAAGAGAAGCCAGAGAGAGTAGGGCAGCACACACTGGATGTGCATTAATACGTGCAACATTTTTGTAATTGGCCCTCCCATCCCACAGCAGCCAATTTGTGGTGTGCCCAGTGTATTTTTTCACAGCACCACATGTTGGTGACCTCAAATTAGGCAGTACCAACTGCAAAACTATATTCATTAAGCACTATCCAGTGCTCCACAGCAGTAGAACTAATGCTATTGGGCTAGTACAAAGGTGTTAACACTTGTCTGGAAAAGGGAAAAAGCATCAGTTTGCCACTGAAAATATGTTGCAAGTCACTAATGTGTCCTGTGTTTCCTGTGTCTAACAAGTACTAATGGCTTTTTGAAATTTTATTATCTCGAATAACTTGGTGTGATCCATAGACTTGGCTAACTCACTGCTCACTCCCTACTCCAGATTATCTATAAATACATAAAAATGCAATGGTCTCAAAACAAATCCTTAGGAGAAAACAATGCTTCCACTGTGAAGTACTATCCCTTTCCCCCATGGGAGTGGAGTATTTTCACCCAGAAGAAAAGTTGAGTGAAATCTCTTATTAAAATGACCTGCTTTCCCCCAAATGGTTCATAGTCTATATAGGGGATAGGAAACTTCCGGTGGGTCAAAGGATTGCTTTGCTAAGAAGTATGGGAAACATAGGATTATATATTGTTTACAATCAGAATCATGCTCCTAGATGGCTGCCAGGAATATGATTCTGTTTCTAAATAAGGCATGAAAGCCCTGTTTTGTTTGGGAAATTGCAGGTTTTGTCACTCCAGTGGTGATGCTGGGGGTGTGTGAATGCAACCCACATGCTACCCACCCATTCTATATATACTAATATTTAATTCATCTTCCAAGTGCCAGTCCTTATGTAACTGAAATGACACAATTTACAAAACAATAGTTATCAGCAGGCATGAAAAAGCCCTAAAAGTTTGCAGGGAAAGAAATATATGTATGGGAGGAAAAATAGCTGAATGAAAACTGAGCATACTTAGTGGCCATGGAATGCTGAGTATGCATTCCTGTGTATGTGTGCTTCAGAAGGTAACAGAAAAAAACGGGTGAATGTTCTCCTGGGGGGAAAAAGCATTGTTTTCTGGTTGGAATCTTGAATCCATATTACATTTCGCTTCAGATCTCATTGAAGTCACTGCTGTTGGCAATGCATCACAGCATTCCATTCTTTGAATGTTACATTTTTTGTAACTTGTGTCAAGGACAGGCCTGAAACTTTACTTTGAAAATAATTCACTCTGAAGCTTGCACAACGAGCAATTTAAATAACCAGGGACTATAATCCTATCTTTTCTTAGGGCTTAGTTCTGAGTAAACAAACATAAGTCTGCCCTTGAGCAAGCCATCATGCTCTTGACCCCTCCTCCACCCCGATATAAGTGCAATAACTCTGGCCAGCTTTACACGATGTTGCAGGGATTATTTATTTAAGTATTTTAATGCCACGTCTCGGCCAAAGCGGTTTCCAGAACTTGGGTCTAATCAATTAAGTGAGGGTAGCGCCTTCCTGCAGACTTAAAATCTGATGACATGACACACAAGGGAACGAGCGGGGAGAGGGGGAAAACAGCAGGTCTGATGGAACGACCCTGCTTTCCATCTCAGCTCCCTCGGTACAGCCTGCTGGAATGCAGCTGGTGGTGACGGCTGAGGGAGGAAACGCCTTCACTACCTCCCTGCTGCTAAGATGCGATGCCCTATTTTCAGGTCAATTAACAAAATAACCGAATTTATGGTTCGCTAAAACGACTGAGCGAGCCCATGTCACCTAAGAGCATCGAAATCTCTCAAGGCCTTCCTACTTCCTTCTCGAGAAGCTTCCCCCTTCCGACAAAGCACAGGCGCCCATCCCCTCACAAAGACCGAAGCTCCCAAACGCCCCGCAAGAAAACCCGCGAAAGGCCCGCAGGTCGCCTGCCAGGCGCGCGGAGAGGAGGGGCCTCCGCGTGGGCACTCAAAGTCAAGACCCCACCAGGGGCGCCGGTTTTCTCCCTGAAAGACCGGGCCTATTCCAATACATTTTCAGAGGGCTTAAACCGCTCTCAGTCCATAATTCCGTATCTATATTTAGGCGGCCGTGATACCTATTCTGAGTCTCTTACTCTGATTCTGGGTTACACGGTACGAAACAGGCACCTGGTTAGGCTACTAAAACTATGTGCATCTCGCCTCTCCTCCCCGTACGCAGGATCTGATTGGTTGAGAGAACCGAAGGAAGTGGTGGTATCTTAGAAGAGGTGCAGTGGAGGAGTAATGAGTGCGCGCGCGCGCGCGCGCGCACCTTGCTTAAGAGGTCCGTGCAAAATGCGCGCTCGGCTAGGGGGTGAACCCGTCGAGATCCGTCGGCTCGGGCACAAGCTTTGATCACCGAAAGAAACGGCAGAAGGGGCGTGTCTGAGCCTACACATGCGCGGGAAGTGGGAGGAAGTGTGTCAGGTTCTTTGAAGGGGGGGAGCATGTAACAAAAAAAAGCTAAGAAGCAGAGCCGTTGGGTCGGGCATTGCTAAGCCGAGGGGGCGCGTGCGCGCGGCGGAAAGGGAAGGAAAAGGCGGGGCCTCCGTCGGGCGAGGGACGCCCCCGGGGTGTGCGTCTGGCTGGCTGGCTGGCTGGCTGGCGGTGGCTCGAAGTGGACGCAACTTCCACAGGACGGGGCGGCCGTCGTCGTCGTCTCCGCAGTCTTGAGAAGAAGAGCCGGCGCAACCTCACAGGGTCCCTTCTGGTCCTCCTGCGGCTCAGTCTCCTCGCCCAGCCCGGGGCCGGCGCGGGGAGCATGAAAGTTCCGCCGCCGCCGCCGCCGCCTCCTCCGCAGCACCGGCGCAGCGGCTCTCGCTGCTTCCTGATTCTCCCGGTCAGGAGGAGCGGGCGCTCTTCCTCACTGCGGTGAGAAGCGGCGGGGCATCGAGCGGCGGCCCAGAGTCGCTGGCGCTCGGGCGGCATCTGCGGCAGTTCTCTGCCCGGCCTTCAGGGAGCGTTCCGCGCCTTCCTTCTCCACCTAAAGTGCCTCGCCGTCTCCTGCTGAAGAGATCGATCCTGCTGGAGGAGAAAAGGTGGGAGAGAGGCGAGCACGAAGAAAGCCACGCGCACGTCGCTGTCACCCCCCGAAATAAGCCCTTCACTCGCCTGGGGTTTTTTCTTCCTCTCCCTCCCTTCGTCGAAGCCTGTATTGCAACAGCAGTCACCGGAGTCTCTCTACAGTTTTATTTTTTCGAGATGACTTAATGTTTTGTCAAGGGCTGGTATTTTTCCGTCTGGGGCTTATTTTTTCTGGCAAAAGAAAGGCAATCGCTCTTCTCCCCCTTTCTGCAGGACAGACTTTTAGGGGTGAAGAGGAAGAACATTCTTGAATACCTGAATTTCATTGCAGCTGGGAATTACTCTTGGGACATTCCCCTATTCATTCTTGCATCCTCTTAAGCTATAAATAGATCCGGGTTTTCTTTGCTGGATTCTGTAAAGTTCAGTTCTGATCAAAATGGAGCATGGCAAGATGGATTATTTCTGTGATCAGGTACAACAGAAAGATGTGGGCCACAGGATGCAGATCGGCCAGGAATTTCTGGAATATTTGAATGATCCCAGTGTTTCCACTGATCTTGACCAGGATCAGCAGCGCCTTGATAAAGTGATTGATGAATTAACAGGATGGGTGAACTCTAGTAATTACAAGGTAAGACTAATTATGCCTGGTACTGTGGGCAGTAGGAGCAATCGGTGTTTTTCTGGGATTTGCCCTTTCACTGAATCTTCTTGTGAGATAAAAACACATTTCTGTTAAAACTAGTTGTATTTTTAAATGCCTTTTCTGGAAATGGCAATGTTTGTTTTGTAGACTAAATAATATGACATAAGGGCAAGATAGAAATTTAAACCTGTGGGTGTGCTATCTCAGGGTTGCAGTCCCGTCTCTTTATAACTCTTGCTGAATTCATTTGTACATGAATGTAAACATGCACTGGGAGTAACTGGATATTATCGTGTTGATCCCATTCTAGATTTGTAATGACATTTTGAGAAGGGATTGTTTTATTACTTTTTTCTGATGGACTAATTGAAAATGATTTTTGTGTGAATAGCCCATTGCAGCATCAGATAAATCAGTGATGCATTCAATGAGTTATTTTGCTACCTCTATACAGTAATTTTCAATCCATCTAACCTTACAGAAAATTCATAATGACTCCTGCTTTAATTTTTTATGCAGGTTTTCTTGGCTGTAATACAAGAAAGTAGTAATCAGCAAGGAATGAGGTGGAGAAAATAATGGCATCTTAAACTTCTGAGATTGCAGTAGAAATCCTGAGCTATTTTGTCAATAATGTATGTCTCAAGTTCGGTAGCTATTCTGCCGTGCATTAACTGTTGCTAGTTGACTCTTCCGTCATCTGGTGGCAGTATTGCTCTGTAATACAGGCTTCAAATGTATGGGTTCCCCAGAGATGTAACTAGGTGTAAGTATGTGTAATAGCTGTGTGTGTATACACACGCATGCACACACAAAATATATTTGAATTTTGGGGAAGTATTAAATTATATTGCCTCCTCCAAACCTTTTATTAACCTAGTCTAATTGCAAATTTATACATCAAGGCAGAAATGAGTTAATGTTTAAATTTGTGAACCATGATGTATTTGGCAGATGCTCAACATACACTTTCAGGTAGGTGGGCTCACATCACCCTAAGCCGCCCTGTGAATAAACCATGGTTGGTGGTTTATTTTGTGAGTCACCTGCAGTGTGCCTGATAGACATTTCTGTTCACCATGGTTGGTTCTTTTTTCCCTTTACAGATGCTTTTTCATTGACAGCATGACATTTGACCCCTGGCAACTATGCACAAATTAGCTTATATGCAATCTTGACTAGAATTGGATAACATTAAATGCACATAGGGGAAGCACCAATAAAAATCTGGGGTTTTTAGTTCAGTTTTCAGGAGTCAAAACAGTATGGATGCAGTTGTACTTTTATTGAAGCTTTGGAAAATATTAAGTCAAAGAATGAGTAGTGGTCCTTCCAAAATACTGCTTTGGCATCAATGGAAGGGCAGTCACTGGTAAGATTTCAAAAGTGAGCTGCAAGAAGTTTGGCTGCTCTTGCCAGCTGCCTCTATAGCTCTTCCTAACATCTTGCTAGGTTCAGAAAACACAACCTCTCATGGGTCAGAGAATCCCCAAAACAAGCCATGGGTCCTCAGGGTCGCTTGTTTGTGAACAGTAAACCATCCTACAAAGACAATGCTAGCTTCAGACAACAGAACAACTGACTATGGCTAATTACCCATGGTTGATTGTTGTGTCATTTAAACCAGGTTTGTGGGGATGAATTTACACAGTATGGTAACCTACCTTTTGAATAAACGCACAGTGCACCTAATAGAAGATCAAACTTATCATGAATAGTTTTCCCAGCCCTTTTCCCCAGTAAGACAAGTTCCAGATAGCAGAACCTGTCTTCTCTCACCTTTCCTGCTCTGATCACAACCCTGTTTTGTGTTCATACTTTTTTTTCCAAAGCATCATGCCACTACCAATGACAGGGGTCCAACAATGGCACTTTACAGTGATTGTCACTGTCATGATATCTTTTGGGCATACATATTTTAAAATATTTTTGTACTGTGCAGGTATACACTTAAGACTGCCCAAGAGTCTTGTCTGGCCAGTTTCCTGGCTGTCAGTACCATCTGATGACACCTGATGCTGCCGCTATCCAAGATATTTGGCCCTCCATCCAATTCCATATCTACAACTACATTTCTCATATTCCTGCTTGTATCAGGCTCATTATGTCCAGGATTACACTGGTCATCTTTCCTCCCAAAGCTTCATCTCTTTGTTCTCATTCATTGTCAGCATCACATCCATTCTGTTGATAAGGCACAAAATCTTGGTTTTCTCTTTGACTATTCTCTCTCTTGTTCCTTCCACTATCCCGTTTTGTTGCTTCTCCCTTTACAAGGGAGCTGCTGTGGTGTGGTGGTGAAGCATTTAGGAATGTGAGTTATGAGATCAGGGTTCTAGTCGCCACTTATCAGTGAAACTTAACTGGGCAGCTTTGAGCCAGTCACAGACTCTCAGCCCAACCCACTGGGTTCTTGTAAGGATTAAATAGAAAGGAGGAGAGCCATGTAAGCCTCCTTGGTTTACTTGTAGTAGGAAGAAAGGCAGGATATAAATGCAATGTAATAATAATATAATGTTACAAGAACATGGTCCCTTTCTCTCTCCCTTCAGTAAAAATTCTTGCCCATTCTTATATGATCTCTTGCTTTGACTATTGCAGTTTTCTCAGTTTCGCTGTCTTGCCTTTGCTTACATTCACCTGGTCTTTCAAACTGTGCACGTTTCTCATCATTCTGGCCTTGTGGCTCTGCTCCTTATATCCCTTCACTTGCCTCCTGTTTGCTTCCAGATCCTGCACAAACCTCTTGCCCTTACTTCCAAAGTCTTCCATTACATTTTTTAACCTTATTTCTCTGTGCTCACTGCCCAACAAATTTGTTACTTTAACCTTGTGTATGTGCTTCACTACCCTCAGCTGTTTTCCCTTTGACAACTCTGTCCATTTTCCCCTGTACTCCCTTTAAGCACTCCCATTCTGGAATTTTTCCCAGAATGGTACAGTGTAATCACTTTCCTTATTTCCTCTGGCCCATCTTCAAAATTCATCCAAGAAGCTTTTGAATCATCTTTCTGGTCATGATACCTTATGAAAAGCTAAATCAAAGTACCTGTGGTTGAAGTAGTCACACATTTTTCATCTGCTTATCCGTGATTTCAGTTCATTCTTCCTCTGTTTCCCTGTGTTTATTTTAGTTTGTAAACTTTTTGGGATAGGGGTCTGTTCTTTATACAATACCCATGTGCATTGGTGGTGCTATCCTGTTCTAGAGACTGTATTTCACTTCTAATATAAAGACAGTATTGATTTTGCTCTAGAGATGCAGGGATGAGCATACATGTCCGGTTTTAATGTATAATGCTTCACGCAGAAAAAATGTAAAATTTCTGGGACTTCTGAAGCCCTGGGGGAAAACGCTGTTTTGAGAGTAAAAATGAAGAAGAATGCAAAAATTATTTAATTTGTGCTTTTTAACTCTAAAGTTACTTTGAAATTTGCAATTGATTACTTCCGCAATCTGTTAGTGTCCAGATGTTTTGGACTTCGGCTCTCATCAGTCCCATTCAATATGACCAATGGTCAGGAATGCTGGAGATTGTTGTTTATCTGGAGGGCATCAGGTTAGGGGAGGCTGCTTTAGGAAATAAAATGCATTATGTTGTAGTCTGCTCATTTTTATCATTGACATCAAATGCTTTTAAAAGTAAACTCAAATAATTTGTATTTATTGTCTGCATAAAATATATTTTTGCATTTATTGTATAAGACATGATAACTTTATGAGCAGAGCAAGTTTGGGGAATCTGGTGTAAAGGAAAAGCTGTGGAGATTGTACAGTGGTACTTTGGCTCACGAACTTAATCCATTCCAGGACTCTGGTCCTGAAACAAATTGGTTGTGACCCAAGTCAAATTCCCCCACAAGATTCAATGTAAATAAAGTTAATTCGTCCTGGCCCCTCCGAAAGTGGTTGTGAGCCAATTTTTAGTGGTGAGCCAAGTCAAAGTACCCCTTAAGGTTCAATGGAAATAAGGTTAATGGTTCTGTAACTATTTTTTTACATCAGAAAAAATTGAAACAAAGTGACAAAGAACAACAAAGTAGTGTACAGTACAGTGGAGAACACTAACCTAGGTGGAGTGGAGGTTAGTGTTTTGAGGGAGAGTCCCCCTCCATAAGGACATTGGGGAAATCTCTGTCAGGGGTTTCCTCTCTTTGTCTCTTAGCTGCAAGGTCAATTTTGGTGAAAAATCTGTCTATAGTCACTTGTTTTTTTTTCCTGCGCTGCATAACCCTCTGGAAATGAGAGACCACATTATTGTTCATCAGATCCAACACTCTGTTCATTACAGTTATGTTGGGGTGGTGCTTCTCAAAGAAATCCTGGCAAAGGCGTGCTCCTGCAGGAAAGACGGGTGCAGCACCGCACAGCCTGCACATACGCAACTGCGATCGTGGCCCTCTCCCCACTCGGGTGGGGGGAGAGGGCCACGATTGTGCTGGTTGGGTGGGGAGAGATGCTCAAGATTGTACCCATCTTTCCTGTAGGAGCGCACCCGTGATCACGCATGTCTTCCCTGCACGAACACAACTGCACTCGGGGAGGGGGGGAGATGGCTCTGTTCTTGGTCGCTACCCAATGCAGAGTTCGTGACCCAAGTCAAAATTTTCATGAAATTTTTGTTCGTGACCCAATTTGGTTGTGAACCAAGGTGTTCGTGAGCCGAGGTACCACTGTATTTAGCTGAGAAAAGTGTTCTCATCTATTAGGAATGGAAAGCAGCCATATTTAAATTGAGAACCTTTATGCTATCTCAACCTATTGGAAGAAGGGACTACTACGGTTTTCAGTGACCTTATTGCCTGTGCCACACCATGCAGAGTCCCATCTGACAGCAACATCCCTTCTCTGTGCTGGCATCTTCCCTTCTATGATGCCTCAGACACCAGCAGTGACTAACAACTTGTTTACCCTGGGTTTTCCCAGCCATCAGCTTATCCAAATCCTGTTATGCTTTTAATGATGTATTGTTTGGTAGTGTGTTGGTAGCAGCTTCCATATTTTTATAGGAGGAAGTATAAATGTGCTTAAATGATGGTTTTATAGCTGATGCAGCTTAATTAAAATTGTGGCAGCGAGTTAATTTTTATGAGGAAACTTTGCTGGTCTGTTGCACTGGTGGCATTGGCAGGATAATCCACAGTGCTTCTGTCCTCTGTTGGTTTTATGTGAGAATTATATTGACTACCACAGCATCTAACTAGAACATATGCAGAAATACACTAAACTAAAACAATTTGCCAAGAAGGTACTTTTTCCATGGTATAATATTCTGTCTCTACTCACATGAGATAGAACATCATTTAATGTTTGTCAGTGAAAGATACACTGGATTAAAGGATTTTAACAATTTGTCTTCCCCATGATTTTATTTCCTGAAATTTTACCATGGTCTTTCTATAAATGTTTATTACATTGTTGTTATTACTTTTGGTGAGGAAATATACACATTTCTGTTTTAAATATTTTATTGAGCATTCTTTAAAAAGAAAGGAATCATAATCAAAAGTTACTCAGTTTTTTGGGGAAAAACAAAATGTATTTTTCCAGACTTTCATAAGTTTACACAGAGGTTACAAGTTTTAATATGCTAAATGCTTGCTCAGAATTGCCCATGTAAGTAAAGAACATCTTTATTTTTGTACAAAGGTAAATATGCTGCTACCTGAAATGAGGTTTGCAAACCTTTTTTCAACATTAGGCTTTTATATTCCTTTAATTTTTAAATAAGTTCAGAGTGTATTGTGCCTAGCTTGACTTTTTAGTGTTTGCTCTGTTAGCATCCTGTGAGCAGCCTAGACCAAAAACCACACCTTGCTTGCATGCAGATATGTTAAACTTCTTTCAGTAGCCTGATTGTAATTCATACTTTTCCTCTGCTGGCATTTTGGTAAGCTATTTGCAATATTCTCATGATATAAATATTATAGTGAACATTTAAAACTTGCTAAGAATTTTTAAAATACAAAGCACCACCACACTCCTTTGTTTTCGACAAGATGTCCAAGTTGCTACTTAATGGTGTTTCATAGGATAATTGCCTTTTGAAATTGGGTTGTGAATATTTTATTTTATCTCTTTATTCCATTATAATTTGATATGTTTACAATTGACTTTACTTTTGCCAACTAATCCAGCTTGGCATTCAAAACTATTGTTTTCCCATGTTTTACTTTGCCTGTGAATTCATCAATACTTGCAACCCACTCTTCTCCAGGGCTGGGATCCAAAGGGAAGAGTTAGTGTTGGGCTAGGGCATCCTTCCCCAACCTGGTTTTCTCCAGTTGTTTCATATCAAAACTCCTAGCATTCCTGACTAATGTTCATGCTGACAGAGGCTGATGGAAGGTGAACTCCAAAAGATCTGGAGGATACTAATTTGAAAAAGGCGTAATTAGAGTTATCCCACTATTCCCACAGTCCTTTATATGCTCTAAAAATATATGTCTTGATCAGTAGGCGTTTCAGTGCAGCTTTGCCAAAATTGGAATTATTCATGAGACTCTTTGCATCCTGACACTTATTTATTTAGAGGCATCATTGCCTTCAGAGCAATTTATTTAATGCATGACTTATTAGAATTGCAGCTTGGCAGCACAGTTCTATGCTCAGCAGTAAATCCCACTGAATTCAGCAGGGCTGAATTCAAAAGTGGCTGTAGGAGTACAGATTACTGGAGTTTCAAGTGACTGCATGTGTTCTATGAACTTTATACAATGTCCTTTATCTGCATAATTCTGTACTTTGCAATAACTTTGGTTATTGCAATCAAAGTTACAATTAGATGAAAATTTGCACCATTTAAAGAAAGGCTATTTTATTGGTAGTAAAGTTTTCATGTACTGAGACATAGGCAGGTCTGAGTCAAATGTTTTCAAAAATTGAGATCAGCCATTGCTTCTCTGTCCCAAAATTCATTGTGAGTTGTAATCTTATACCTGAAGCACCTACCAGTGACTATTCAGACTGCAAATCTCTATTTTGAGACTTTCTAAACTGCAGCTCTTATAGCTGCAACTTGTGGCCTGAATTTTGGACTTTACTCCTATCCCCTGCTTTTTACTCCTATCCCCTGCTTTTGTACTACCTAGCCTGATGAAGAATTCTGATAAACTCAACAGCCTAAACATTTCTGTGGTGTTCTGAATAGTTCTAATAAAGGTATTGCCAAACTGCGCATTTGAATTATACTGTTTTTCTTGCCCATTATAAAGCACTATGTTAATTTATTCATTAAAACAAGCCTGTGTTTGTCCAAGTACTTTGTTTTTAATTTTCCCACAGAAGGCACAGTTCTGCCTATGTTTTGCACCTTGCCTCATTTAAGCTTCTGCTTGCTTTTTTGCTAAATTAAAGATGGCAGTGGAAAGAATACAATTGGCTATTTCTGTTTCTTCTAGACCTAAACTCTGGGGTCAAGGCTCTGTAGTTCTAAGTTAGAGCATTATTTATTTTCATTCTTTTAAATAATGGGAGGAAAATAATGTCCTTTAATGGAACTCTCTTTATTTTTTTAGCCTGAGGAATACTCAAGTTTTCTTCTAATTACAATTAAAAAGGTGAAAACTGCTGAGACTTAATGGACTATTATCTGAGACTAGGCTATGATGGGTTTGTTGTCCTATCCCAAAAAAGATACGACTAGTCTGTAGTCATGACACAGTGTGACTGATTTCTGGTTTACATGTTGAACAAGATTTGAGATTTTGCTCTGTATCTGTTTTAAGCTCATGACGTAAATGTTTGTTTATAAAGCATATAAGATCAGTTATGCAACTTTTCTTTAAAATTCCTCTAACTTCTCTTTCTGAAAGCTTTTATAGATGCATGAAGCTGCCTTAGCTGGTTGAGTAAATTGTCTTAGGATCTTACATTTAAGGCCTTCATTATTTCCGTAGGTGTCATTACTTGGATTAGATCTTCTAGGTGCCTTTGTTGACAGACTGTCAGGACGCTTCAAATCCTATATAGGACCTGGTGAGTGGCTTTCTTATTTCTTTGTAAAATAACTTAATATGGGTTATTTGGGCTATAGTTATTCATTTCAATGCATTACCTCATAGAATTAATGACAAAATATGTACTAAGTTTAGCTGATTGCAGGGGTGACAAATGGCTTGAGTTATCCAAATACTACTTCTGTACAAGTGTACTAGATTCAAGCAATTATGCATTGCAGTACCAAAATTCCTTCTGCAATACTGAGAATGTGCTTGGTAATATGAATGGTGGAAAGAGTTTCTGTAATTTTCTGCATTTTGACGAATAGCTTTTCATACACCACATCCCTGTGCGTTTCCTGTTAGACTCCAGATGACTTCTGGAGAACACCTATTGCATTTTATTTTGTACCCTGTTATCCTGCAAACAAAACATGTTTATCCTGTCAGTTGTGAACATAGTATATACAGCATGCATACAAAAATAAATATTACATTCTGTTGGTTACATGGTTTAAACAGCTATAATAAAGGCTAAACAGCACTTAAATATCTTCAAAGATGATCTCAGAGTCAGTAGAGATAAATGTGAGTTAAGTATTTCCTAACATGGTGCTTCCTCTGGGGCCAAGCAGTGGGGATTATTGCATATGGCAGAAGAAGCCCATGCTGTGGTGCTTATGCCATCAGCTTCCAAAGAAATCTGTGCTTTGTTTGGGTTAACTGCTGGGTTGTTTAGCCCATCCCTATCCACAGCCTATGAAGGAACAGACTCAGGGTTGCGAGCTGTAGTGGAAAAGAGCGATCCATTGTAGGTGACATGCCTCTAGTCCCTAATAGTGCTTCATTTTTAAACCAGTGGGTTGCCATTATGTGTGATTTTATTTATTTAAAATATTTATATGCCGCTTTATTCGCAAAAAAGCCTCAGGACAGCTTACAATATTCAGGTCTAAGTATTAAGTATATTCAGGTCTAAGTATGTTAAATGTGGCTTGCATAGGATCAAACTTTCTCCTATCCGCTTGTCCTTATGTGCGAACAACCCTATGAATGGTTGCATCATGTGAACTGAGTAATAAACTGTATTCTCGGCTTATTAAGCTGTATTCTGTAACAGCTGTGGATTGTCTTGCAGAAGAGTAAAGAAGCTGTGGCTTGTTTGCCCATATTCTGATTTGTTTGTGTCATACCCAGTTTAGCAGATTTTTAGAACCATTTTGTTTTCAGGCTGCCCTTCCTAGACACTTCTAGAGCAACAGCAAAGAGAGCAACAGCATAAACAAGTCAGAGTAAATCAGTGTTCTGGGTTCCAACATCATGATAAGCCAGAATTCCTAATTCTCATAATTCATGAGAACTGGCCTGGTGTGATGGTTAAGAATATTGGACTGGGGCTCAGAAGATCTGAGTTATAGTCCCTGCTCAGCCATGAAGCCCATTGGGTGACTTTGGGCAAGTCACTGCTTCCCAGTCTAGCCTATCCTCTCAGAGGATTGTTGCTGTGAGGACAGAATGCAGAGGAGAACCTTGTAAGCTGCCTTGTTTTAGTGACTGGTTTTCTTTGATGTTCCTATATTTTTAAATAATATCTTTTTAAAAGAAAATGTAAAAAGCAGTATAAAAATAGAGGGCAGAAAAAAGCTAAATATTAATTGAGCACATACATACAAAGAGCTATATGCTAAAGCAGTAGGAAATGAACAATTGTCAATCCCATATGAAACCACAAAAATTAGAGCAAATTTCTTGCAAAATGCATATTAGAAAAAGTCTTGTAAGCCTGTGAAAAAAACACAAATATAGCTGTGTTGAGGAATTTGGATTTTGTATGTATGTTGTAAAGCAATTTTTGGATAACATTAACACTGAACAAGAAACTTCCGTATGTATTCAGATGCAATATCTAAAACTTTACTAACTTTTCTTCTTTTTTTTAGCTTGACATATTCACTTCAATCTCAAACTAGTAAAATATCTTTTAAAGATAAAACATTGGTTGACTATAGTTTGTAGGGTTGTTTTGGTTAGCATACATGACAGAAACCTGAGCATTCAGCATTGACTCTCTTGTTGGTATAGGCCTAATTTAATACTTTTGTTACTCAGAAACATTGGATCCAGCATAGGAGTATTAACTATTATTGCCAAACAAAGGCAATATTAGAAATGTCATCCCTGACTATATTGTACTTAACTATCTTAAATATGGTATTGATTAAAAGTAAAAGCCAAATATGTCAGACTTGACTAGTATATCATCATTTTACAAGACTTGATAATACAGTGAGGATTTCAAATTAGAAAAACCAAAGGATCATGGTCCTATTAGATAAACACAAGAAATGGCAGGTGGGGTGGTATGGAGTACCAAATAGATTAAATCTAGTGTATTCGCAAACTAAATATTGTCCTTCCAGCACTCACTATGGGGCAGTTTGCCTCACCAAATTTTATGTTTTTGTAAAGGAGTATTGGCTTCCACACGCTCAAAAATGTCCATTCCTGATCAGGACCTTTTCCAGTCTGTTTAGGGCACTTCAGTCAGACTAGGTGGTCCTGACAAGCTGATCTTTATTGAAGGGCAGGCAAGGAGTACAACCATGGTGAATCTCCTTGATCTCTCAGTGGTTTTTGATGTTACTGATCACAGTATCTTTCTGGATAGGCTCCATGGTTTGGGAGTCAGGAGCAGAAGGCTACAGATTCCTTTTTGTTATCTCCATGCATCACACGAATGGGTTCTGCACCTGTGCGGAGCCTGTTGCTGGCAAGATTCACTAGCTAAGAGCATTTTGGTGGGAACCCTTCCCCCACCCCAGCATCAGTAAAAAATAGAGGTGCTCCTGTCATTTCCCTCTTTCTCTTATACTTTTTCTCTGTTTTCCCTCTGTCTGTCTTTTTAATGTATTTCTGAGTGTCTTTATCTACCTATTCTTCCTCAAGTACTTCATGAGCTTTTCCTTAACCACTACCTTTTTTTTTACCAATGGTTTTGGAGTCAGAAGCAGAAAGCTACAGCTTATTGTAGGGCTGTGTCCAGAGGATAGTGTTGGGTGATCATAGCTCAGGCCAATAACAGTTAGCTATGGATTCTACAGAGTTCTATACTATCCCGATGCTATTCAGCATGTATAGGAAAGTTGCTGAATTATTCCATATCAAACACCTTGTTGGATTTGTGGTTGCCGCTTGGGATTTCCATATATTGCTACATCACTTTAGCATCCTTGTGGCAGAAGTAATGTGCATACTCAAGGTGATTGTTAACATAGCATAGGTTGAATAGGATGGATTACTGTGCATTAGAGCAATATTCTTCCATCTGGTGCCTGCCAGATGTTTTGAACTACAATTCCAGGATTCCTGATTGACCATGCTGGATAGAACTCATTAGAGTTGGAACGTTCTAGACTTGTGGTCTGAAGATGATATTTTCCCAAAATGGCATGTTGAGAGTTGAAAACTTCTTGTTCTTTTCTGGGGTGTTCAGAAAGCAGTTCTCTTTTAGTCACTAGTTTATAAGTTGGCCATATTTGGCCTTCAAAAACAGTAGTTCAGATGTGACTAGGCAGAAAAAGAAAGTTTCCTAGAAAACTATTTGGCTCAATGTAGAGATATGGAGAACGCAAATGCTTGCATGCTACACTCTGACTTTTGAGTTGGTCTAGCAAAGATACTGCCCTAATAGGTATTTTGGGATTTTTCTTATGGTTGCTAGGGCTGCTTTTGCTTTTTGGTTAATTATAGAAATCTTAAAAGTAAAAAATATCGATCAGTTGCTTTACTGTTGGAAACATAAATCATTTTGGCAGTGAACTTGAAGGTACAATTTTACTGTGAACTTGTATTACATTAATCCTTATTTCTGTTCTTTAGTTCTTATAGTGTTGATGGATCGAATGGGAGATGCCAAAGACCAGGTTCGCGAACAAGCACAGAATCTTGCTTTGAAGTTAATGGATCAAGCAGCTCCACCGATGGTATGGAGTTACTGGAAGTTTGGGCAATGTATTTATACTATTGTTGTAATAGATTTAATAAATACAAAGCAGAGAGTACTTTTTATATTTGCACAGAAGAGAAAATCTTAGGAGATTCAGTTTTTCTCATCTGTATTTGGGTCTAGCAAAATTTGCTCTTCTGCCTAAATATTAGAGGTGCAAGAACCCTATTGCACATAATCCATAACTGAGATTATTCTGTTAGGGAATCCTTTTGGCTGTCTGAAATACACATAGGTCTGGAATATAGAATCACAGAATAGTAGAGTTGGAAGGGGCCATGAAGGCCATTGGGTCCAACCCCTGCTGTTGCAGGACAGCAATTTACACCATCCCATTCAGTTTGTTGTCCAGTTTCTCTTGGAATGGCTCTAGTGTGGGAGAGCGCATGATCTCTCTACCAGTGAACTGGTTTCACTGTCATATTGTTCTGACAGGGAGGAAACTTTTCATGATATCTAGCCTGAATCTGGGTTGTCACAACTTGAATTAATTATTCCATGTCCTATACTCTGATATCAATGGGAAGAGATCTTGACCTTCCTTTTTGTGACAGCCTTTGAAGCACTTATAGGGGGATATTTTTATTTGGAAAAAAAATTGTTTCCAAATAAATTTGTTTTCCATAAATAAATGGAAATTATTTTAAATTTGCATTCCAAATAAATATTTGTTTTCATGAACAATATTTTTATTTAGGGTTGTAAATTTAACATACTCATTATTTTAGATTGTCCCTTAACTCGAAGATAGAGCTGTATGAAGAGGTTATGTCTTGTTTTATAGTGAAACTGTGCTGGTGAGGAGCTCTGAGGAAAATGAAGGACTAGGATTAATCCATATTAATAACAGGGCTGTAACCTTCTTATGGTAATTAATCAGTGATTTAATTGGTTCACTCTGCATAAGCATATAATAGTATGAGAGAAAAATAAATGCACATATGTATAAGAGCAGGTACCATTTCAAAGGGAAAAAAGTGGATTTCTTCCTTTTTCTTTTTGATGGTGCATGGCAAGCACTGTTTTGTAATATTAAAACTAACATTTTTTAAAAAAATTATGCTGTTCAATTATTTATTTATTTATTTATAAAATTTCTATGCCGTCCCATTCACCAAAGCCTCGGGGCGGCTCACAAAACATTAAAATATAATACATTAAAAATATAAAACAAATTTACAATATAAAATCAGGACCATCATTTTAGATCAAACTTCTTAAAAGTATTTAAACAGCATGATCTTGATGTTTGACTTTTTGAGTTTTTCTTTTTCCTTTTTCCTATTTCTTTTCCTATTTCCTATTTACTGTTTTCTTTTTCCTAAATCATTCTGCTTTTTTAGTATGGTGTCCTGTATGTATGTTTTGCATTTTACAGACTTCCCCTTGTTCAAGCTCCATTTCATCACCATTCTTCTTGTGCTAAGTCAAGCTGTATCAATCTGCTTTAAGTTCCTGGAAACCCTTAACCATACTTAATGGGATTAGCAACAAGCTATAGGATTGCTCCTGAAACCCTTAACCATGGTTAATAGGATTGGGATTGTGCTGTAGGATTGCTCCTCTCATCTCCCATGCATATTCTCCTTGTCCTCAATTAATGCTTGCTTTTTACTTATTTTATTTCTGTATCATCAACAGCCAACACTCATTGGGCAGTTCCCAACAATTAAAACTATAGATTACAATACAATAATATTAAAAAGTCATCCCCAACTCATGGTGACCCTCTCAATTGAAAATACTCCAAAATGCCCTATCCATGATAGCCCTGCTCTGCTTTTGTAAATTCGAGGCTGTGGCTTCCTTAATGTAGTTGCACTGTCTCATATTTGGTCTTCCTTTTCTTCTTCTGCCTTTGACTTGGCCTAGCATGATTGTCTTCCTCAGGGAACTTGGCCTTTTCATGATGTGCCCAAAGTATGATGACTTGACAAACTGAGTTTTGTCATTTTTGCTTCTAGGGAAAGTTCTGCCTTTACTTGATCTAGGAACCACTTGTTTATCTTTCTACTAGTTGAGGGTATTTGCAAAGCTCTCCTCTAGCACCACATTTCAAATGCATCGGTTTTCTTGCTGTCACCTTTTTTCACTGGCCAGCTTTCATACCAATACATAGTGATTGGGAATAGTGTAGATGATTGTGGCATTCGTCTCCAGTTAAGTGTGTTCACATTTGGTCATATTTCCTAGCTTCTTAATTGCTGCTTTTTACTTGCAGTTCCAGTCAACTTTAAATTCTTGGCTGCAGTCACCATTTGAATTGATGGCTGAGCCAAGATATGTAAAATATTTCACAATGTCAAATTTCTTCATTGTTGACCTTAAAGTTGTGTAATTCTTCTGTAGTCACAACTTTTGTTTTCTGAATGTTCTGCTGCAGTCTGAATTTTGTACTTTCTTCTTTCACCTTCATCAGGAGTCATTTCAATTACTGCTTTCTTCCAGTAATACAATTTCCTCTGCATTTCCTAAATTACTGATGTGTCTTCCACCACTTGTGACCCTTTCTTCTTTTTATCCTAATCCAGCTTTATGTTCTACATACAGATTGAACAGATAGGAAAATAAAATGCACCCTTATCTGACTCCTTTGCCAAAGGGAACCATTCTGTTTCTCCATATTCTGCCTAAAAGTAGCTTTTTGTCCATGATACAAGTCACTCATCAGGACAATCAAGTGCTTAGACACCCCCATCTCTTTCAAGAATAAAATATAGTACAAACATAATACAAATTGTGGTATTATATAAAATATTAACCATATAAAACCTAACAGTAATGCAGAGTTTTAAAATACAGTTAAGGGATTTAAAACAATTGAAACTTCAAGATAAATATGCCTGGGAAAATATGAAGGTCTTCACCTGGTGCCAGAAAGTGCACAGTTTAGGTGACCAGACAGACTGCTCTGGGAAACTTGTGCCACACAAAAAAGACTCTCATCTTAGTAGTCTCCTATCTTACTTCCATTGTCAGGGGCTCATTTGTCAGTCTTCCTTTATCAGGGAAGACTGAAGACTTCCTTAGGGTCTGGGCAAGAGGAAATGATTTGTCCCTGCCTCAAAGCTGTTGAGGCCTTTGAATGTTGAGGTCATAAACACTTTAAATCAGGCCCAGAAATGGACTGGAAGCTGGTGCAGAAGAAAATATACTGACATTATATGTTCATTATATGTTCATTAACAATCTTGCTGCAATGCTTTGAACTAGCTAGACCATTTTTAAAGGCAGCCCCACACATAACATTGTAGTAATCCAGATGAGATCTTAGCAGAGTATGGATAATTGTGGCTAGTCTGTTGCTGTCTAAATAATGTTATTGATATATCAGCCTAAGATGATAAAAATTGTTTCATGGTACCGGGTCTGCTTGCGGCTGTAGTGACAATGACCATCCCTAAACTATGGACCTAATCCTCCAAGCGGGTTACAACCCATCCAGAACAAGTTCAATATCATTGAGTTGGGCTGACCACTTGCCCACTAAGAGTACCTCTATCTTGCCTAGATTGAGTCTGTTCATTGGCCCTCATCCTGTCTCCTGCCACACCAGTGTACTGGATTAGAACATGCACTGCCTCAACTGCAGCATCATCTGCATGCTGATCACACATCAGTGTTTATCACCTGATAATCTCCCCCACCAGTTTCCTGTAGATGTTAAATAGTGTAGGAATAAAATAGAACCCTGTACCATTCCATGACATAACTGCTAAGAAACAGAAAAATAGTCCCTCCAGCATCACCCTTTAGAATTAGCCATGCAAGTAAGAGCAGAACCATTGCAGTTCAGTACCTCTAGCTCCCGTGCCAGATAGCATATCCACAAAGATATCAAGGTGAATAGTACCGAATGTTGTTGAGAGTTCCAAGAAAATCGACAGACTTTTTTTCAGGAGTGGCTTAATAATCCCCTCCTTTAAAGTTATTGGCATGACAGCATCTCTAAGGGAGCAGTTGACAGCCTCCTGGGCCCAGCTAAACACTTCTTCCATATTAGATGTGATAAGTTGTGGTCAGACACAACTTCCAGGCCAAGGGTTATACTGCACTGCAGGACTCCATGATTTTGTATCACAAATATAGATTGGTTACTGGAATGTATCAAAGAATTTCAGAAGACAATTAGTCTGTCCCTTATGGATTACAGCAAAACCTTTGCGTGAATCTTGAAAAACTATGGACAGTCCTGAAAGAAATGGTGTGACACAGCACTTGACTGTCCTGGTGTATAATGTGGGCAAGAAGTTACTGTTGAAACAGAATATGGAGAAAGGCTGTAGGCAAAGGTGTATTTACCTATTTTTAATCTATATACAAAATATATGAGAAAAACTAGATTGGGATTAGGGAAAGGATTGAAAATTGGCAGAAGGTAATTTAAAATCTGCAGATGATGTCTCCTGATGAAGGTGAAAGAAGAAAGAGCAAAAGCAGGATTATACCTGAAACTTAAGAAAACAAAAGTTGTGGTTATAGAATAATTATACAACTTTAAGGTGAACAATTGAGAAATTGAAATTGTAAAAGAGTTGACATACTTTGGCTTACTCATCAGTTCAAAGGGAGACTGCAGCCAAGAAATTTGAAGACCAAGACTGGAAAGGATAGCAGTGAAGCAACTAGAAAATAGCTTCAAGTGTTAGGATATTTCAGTTCAGACCAAGCCCAAGTTCATCCGTACTACTGAATTTTCAATCACTAAGTATAGGTGTGAAAAATGACAGGAAAAAAATGGGTGTGTTTGAAATATGATGCTGGAGGAGAGCTTTGAGAATATGCTGAAGGTGAACAGGTGGGTCCTAGAGCAAATTAAGCCAGCATTTTCTCTGGAAGCTATGGTACTTTGGGCACCTCGGGAGAAAGCAAAACTCCCTGGAAAGGACTGTCATGCTAGGGAAAGTCAGAGGCACAAGAAAAAAAGGGAGAGCTAATTGAATCAATTCCAGAAATTCAAGCTACAGCCATGAGTTTGTAAGAGCCGAGCCAGGCTGTCAAGGACAGGACACTTTGGAGGGCATTCATTCATAGAGTCACCATAATTTTGGCACAGCTTGACAGCACATAACAACAACAAAAACTCAATGCCAATTAAAGTTTGTTTCTGACTTTGTTATGATCCAGTGAAACAAGGGTGCTAACATAATCATGGTTAATGTTAGCAAGGGGAATTTGCATGAAAGTTGAAGGTATTGCAGGAAAGGGGAAGCATTTGATCCCACTGCCTGTTACTGATTACTTAAGCATGGTCAAGGGATCAGGAGTACAGCATCTCCAGTACAGTATCTGCATAGGCTTGCAATAGACACCATGGATTTGGATTTGGATCTCTCAGTTTGTATCTGGATCCAGCTTTGTAGTAGATTCTTCAGGGATTGGACATTTTTCAAGACGGTTCACATGATATATTATAGAAAAAGGTACATAATGTGGCTATGCACATGTCATATGTCCATGGTGCCCCCTCCTCCAACCTTGGTTCTTCTACAGATTCTCTTGTGCGAAGTACTTAGATTTAGTCCCTCTTTGCCAGCACTTCTTAGTGCTGTTGGGGAGTGAGAGAACTACAGTCAGCTTGACTGATTCATGAGTCTGTCAGGCTGACCTCTGCCCCATGCCACTGTCAGCCAGAAGTGTTGCAGGCAAAGTAAGGTGAGTCTCTTTCTTCCTGGTGCTGCTAGTCCAACAAGGCTGCTGTGTGCAGCAAGGTAGAAGGGGTAGCTCCATCCACCTGTGCACATAGGTGGCTGGGGTGTTGGAACTACCTCCACATCCTGTTTTGAAGCCGTGAGAAATAGGTCCAGGTGGCTGTGTGTGTAGCTTGCTAGAGTTACTTTGTCTTCCCTGCCATCCTGATATTGCTGACTGAGGCAGATGACAACAAAGCAAGCCTTCTCTGACAAGCACATCACCATGCATGATGCTTCTGACAGCTTCCCTTCAAATGCTACTTGCGCGCTTTTGGGGTGGCTCTTGGCAGCACTTTCTTAGCAGCCGCTTGGCAAGAGTGGCAGGGATTTCTTGCTGCTCTAGCCAAGAGGCTCTGTAGTTGTTTGAGTTATCGTTGGGGTGGCTGTGTCATCTGGATTCCCATGACACAGCAACCCCAGGGTAGGTGACAAATCTTACATCGAGCAGTGAACTGTTGTGATAGCTCATAAAACCCAAAGCTGGGTGTATAAGCTACCAGAAACAGGCCACAGAGAATTAGTACAACATGTCAAATTTATGTGACTTAAAAGCCAGGCACCTGGGCAGTTGTCATGTTGTGTGAAACTTGTTGCTAGTTAGCATTGATAGTTGTGTCACTCACATTTCCACACAAAACTTTGACAATTGGGTAGAATATTACCTTAATTCATTAATATTCCTGTTGATGTTTCAGCTACTCCCCATAGGCTATTTTGTGTATACACATTTCCTGTGTAACTTATTCAACTGTTTGAACACTTAGTTTTTAATTATTTCTCACCAGAATATAATCTGTAAATAAAAACATTTTCAATGATTGTTTGAATGTGATGGGGAAAATGCTGCTTGCTAACAAACTATCATCACTGTTGCTAATTCCGTTGACTTTTTGTTGTATGCATTTTGGGAAGTGTTCTTGAATTATTATACTTATGTTTTGTGCTTCCTTTATCCCCTCCAAAATTAATACTTGGGAGTCATCTAAAATACTGCTCATTTTACTGTGGCCAGCACAAATTGGCTCTGTGTTAGTCAAACATTTCTGAGGAATAAGTAGTTCAGAAGTCTTTTAGATATTTCACTGTTAGGTTGTGCCATGCTAAATTTAAGATAACAATTTCATGAATATGTACAGAAATGGAGCATTTTTTCTAATTGGATTAGAATTCCAGTTACTTAAATAATTTGGTGTTTTCTCATTAGCCTATCTTATATCCCCTGCCACCCCTAGTCTTTTAAAGATGAAAGAGTAGTGTGCGCGTGCACACACACTCACACACATGCAACATCGCTTGTTTTGATCATACTACAGCATGACTTGAATACTGGGAGGGTCTAAATCATAAAATGCTGCAGTCTGGGAAATGTGCTATTGCTCACTGTGCAGCAGTTGCTAGGCAACCTTTTTCTCCTGAATGCCTGCTGAACGGCTGAGATTAAAATGGCAGCATTGCAGCTAAAGGGAGTTGCAGTTGGAATTTGTTTGCTTTGAAATATCATCACAAATCTAGTCCTGTAAGTGTCAAGCTTGCAGAGAACCCAGGAGATAAAGAATTTATAAAGATAGAAGCAAGAAAGGCAAATGAAACATGAGAAGATGAGCATGCTTAGGCGCAGCTGAATGTAGCCCAAGTAATTCATAATAGAAGAAAGATCCAGAGATCATCAGAGAAGCTCACTGAAGGACAGAAACATCACTGGAATTGGAAGGGAAATAGAACCAGTTTTATAAGTGTGTTGAATGAGTACTTTAGAAATATATTGATATGTTTACAAGAATCAGTTTTAAAATCTGAATGAAGGGCATATTGAAGTCACAATGGGATGATTGTTTTTTTGCTGGGGGTTTTTAAAGCAGGGAATGATCAACATGAGAGAACCACTGACTTGAACCTTCAGTTACTTGCATTGTTTCTAGCTTTTGAAAACTGTTATGTATTGTCAGTTATTTTTTTCTTAGTAAAGGGGCTGTTTGGTTTCAGCATTGATGTATGCAGTTGGGCACAGGGGTAATTAAGTTTCGTTAAAAGTTTTTGTCCCAAGAATTCATATAACATTTAATGAATTTGTAGTATTAATTTATAATAGCTATTAGTCATTTCATAACCATGTAACATTATTATTATAGAATATGCATTTCCATCCAATAATCTGACCTTTTGTTTTTAATAGTTAATTTGGGAACGTCTTGCTGCTGGCTTTAAACACAAGAACTATCGTTCACGAGAAGGAGTGTGTCATTGTCTTGTTGCAACATTAAATGTGTATGTATTTCATTTTTAAGGAAATAAGTATTAAAATGAATATTCTTTCCTTTCTGGTAGTATACTCATTTCCATGAAATTTGTACTTGATTTTTAGGGGGGGAAATCCTTAAACTAAAAAGAATCCTCAATCCTCATTTACTTTAAATTTCCATTCTTAAATTTATCCACAGTCTTTCCCAAATTACAAGGTCTCAGTAGCTAGAAGTGTTAGAGCTGTCATGTAGTAACATATGACGATACCGTGCATAAAAGGGAGGGAATGACCCTTGTTTTGGATTTTTCCCCCCTAGGTATGGTGCACAATCGTTAATTCTCAGCAAACTGGTGCCACACTTATGCATCTTGTCTGGAGATTCCAATAGCCAGGTAGGATTATAATTAATCAGAAAGCCATATGTTCTAATTTTTGTATTGTCTGCATTATAGTACTTGTTTTATAAGCAACTTTGCCAGAGATTCTTAAAGATTTAGAATGATGTGAGCTCCTATCAGCCTAGACTGAGAGGTAGAACTTTTATTTTATTTCCTAAAGTATAGAAACAATTACTTTCTTTCATTACTTGTCAGTGGTGGGCAACAGTGAAGCAACTTTCTAATGGAACTTGGCTAGAAACATCTTGAGGTCTGGCATTATCTGATGTAGCTTTAGGATTGTGTGATATTTTAAGATTCCAGAAATAAAATAATAAGGTTGGATCCAG